GTTTGTTCGTGCCAGCACAGCAGAGTGGAAGGGTGTGATTTATTCATGACAACGAATGAATGAGTCACTCAGAGGCTGTAGTAAAGGTGAGCGAGGACGTCTATGCCTTTTTGTGACTGGACTGAGGCTTTTTTTTTTTTTTTTTAGCCACATTCCAACATGAGAGGGATTTCTGGAGCCTTTGTGAATCTTACATTCACTGTAAGCTGATCCCTTAGTGGTCAGTAAACACAGCAAAAGCAATATCATCTTATTGATATTCACAGATTCTATTGTCTTTCAGAGGTATTTATATCCATTGAATCTTTTACATTGGTCTCATTAAAAACCACAAACTTGATGGTCTTATTCTTTCAGCAAATAAAAATCTATGGAGTGGTATACGTTAAAGTCACCTCTAACATGTCTTTATTTCTTTTTGTCTCCTTACCCACAGCATGACGGCGCCACTACCATGTTTCACAATGGCAGTGGGGTGTTCAGAATGATGTGCAGCCTTATTTGTGGAGTGGACGATGAGTGTTAGCTTCTCCCACCTGAGTTGTTGGTGTGTGTGCAGCTCCTCCAGAGTTACGTCTCGGTTGTTTCTCTAATCTTCTCCCTCCCTGCCCGGCCAGTTTAGTTTTTGTTTCTCGTCTGATGCTCTGCAACAAACTTCAAACAGCATCTGAAACCTCTGATATAACTGTCAGCAGGTTTAATTTTGCTTGAAATTGCTTGAAATTAAATTTAACTTAAATTTCTGTCCCCACCATTTTTATACGTTGTGTAATCTAAGACTTACGGATGGCCAAGGTCAAATTTGTCTCCTCTTAGACGGACAGTAGAGTCTGATGCATCACACAGACACCCATCAGACTTGAAGGTGACGCTGACGGAGACCGTAGCCCGGCTTCTCCTCAAATACTTGAGGATCATCTTCCAGCCAGCAGAAACTCTATCCACTCCCTATTCTCCTCGCCTCACTCTGTGATGGATTGGCAGAGACGAGGCCAAGTGGGTGAGGGGACCGCTCACGCCGTAGAGGCCACTGCTAAACTTTGAAGAAACTTTTTCTCCCACTTTGTCACAGCGGCTTCACGGTCAGGTTATTTCATCTTATCAGACGTCTCCCGTCAGCAGCATCATGCTGGCTTAGATGCAATGAAAACAACATCATGAATCACAAGTGCGTGTGTGTGTGTGTGTGTTTGTGTGTGTGTGTGTGTGTGTGTGTGTGTGTGTGTGTGTGTGTGTGTGTGTGTGTGTGTGCGCGTGTGTGTGTTTTGTTTTTTTTTTTTTTTTTTTACCGAGCCACAGATAGTGGAGAGAGACACCAAGGGGATTTAAAAAGTACTGCAAGCACTTTGTTAACTGAAACCAAAACATCTGTTTTTTCTTATAATTACAGAATTTTAACAAAACCATGAAAAGATATTTTTGTTTTACAGTATAGCATGATGTTTATAAGTCCAATATTCTCTGTCTTGTTAAAGAAAATACACTTGCATGCTATTAGTTCAATCGGTGACTGCACACTAAAGAATGCTGGGTTAAAAAGAACCCAAGAACCCAGAGCTTGGGTCAAATTGGGATCGTATAAATTGGTTGTTTTCACTCAAATTGGCTGGTTTGACCCAGAATATTGGGTTATGGAAACTACCCAGAGGTTGGGTTAGATTGACCATTGCTTAAAGTCAAAATGACCCAAAAATGTGTTGAAACTCAAAACCCATGACAAGGGTTATTATACCACAATATTTAGGTTTTGAAAACAATATTTTTTTCTTCCTTTTTCCTCCTTGTGAAGTCTCTAATAGGCCAACTCATCAGCCCATATAAATGGCTAACACACTAATTGTCACTCCTTTCACCAGATTAGTTTAATTAACAACATGAGGCATCTCTGGAGTGCTTGCAACCATCACCCCCACCCCCGGCCTCATACTGACGTTTTTTTTTTGTTTGTTTGTTTGTTTGATGCTTCCAGTTTGCCTCCCTGTCATGTGTTGAACTCATGACCCTGGTTTGTGCCCAGATTGACCTGCACCCCTCCCAGGACTCCCACTGCCCTGGGAGAGAAGTGTTCACGTAGCATCTGCTGCTTGAGACAGACACTGAGCCAGGTGGCCGCCGAAAACCTGCGTACGCTGCCACCACCGGTGAGTCAGGCGGACATGCCTGCACACTCATCTGAGCTCACACACGAAAACAACAATTGGGACCATCTGTCTGAGAAATATGTTGCACAAGAGACCGCTCTGAATAAGCCCAGATTGGTCAAAGGCGAAACCAGCTCACGGTTTTTCTCCAGTGTGTCACAATCTTTGGGCGTTTGCATGTTGGTTCTCAGTTTAGTTTTTTTTTTTTTTTTAAACTGGTGTCTCTCAGTAGTGGTTAATTTATTTGTGTTGAATTTCTTAGTAGTTGTCCTTTTCTGTGTGTTATTGTTTGGACTCCTATATAGGTATCAATCCTTAGTTTTTGATTAGTTTGATCTTCCGTTTCCTCTGTTTCAGTTTCTTCTGTGTCCATTATTTCACCTTTTCTCAGTAGCAAGCTTAACGTCTTCCGCAGCTGTTCTTTATTCATTGATTGTGCTCACCTGGTCCCACAATCACATCTCCACAAGCTATAGGCTTTTTGGTGTACTGCTGGATTCTTCCATTACTTCCTTCCCTCATGTTCTGTAAGTTTACTCTGTTTCATCACTAAATTCAGTTCCTATCATGCGTCTGCCTCCGCCCTGCTCCCATTCGGGTTGAAACATGACATCAAGGTGGTTGTGCTGCTCCTGAAATGAGTATTTCAACCTCCTATTTGAGGTTTTATGACCAATAAGCTGTTGAAGTCAGCGTAGGCAGTCGAATGTATTTACTAATGATCTGTGGCCGTGACAGGAAACCTCTCATGTAGCTCCACAGTATCATCTTTGCTGTCATAATCACACCAGCAAAAGCCCTTTGGGACATTTAAGATTCAGTAAATTAATAACTCACTGAAAGAGAAAGAAAAGCTACACACGATGGTGTGGGAAGCTTATTTGGATTTTATGTATACTAATGAGAACTTGAAACTGAATGGTACTGCTATTTATTTTTTTTTTTTTTAATGAGCTGAACTTCCTAAATGTGGATAAAGCAAATATCTACACTGCAGCTTTTAGGTGTAAGCATGGGACTTTTGTGAAAAACAAGCGGCAGACGTTTTTTTTCTCCTAGACACAGTGTGTGTGTGAATTTTAGTGTGTTTACATGCACAAGGTGTTAGCAGACTTTTAGAGGACCCAAATTGGTAATTTAGACCTATGGCTTTAAGCTTGACTAGATTCAAGAATGTAAAAGTAGTAACTGGAAACTGAAGCACCAACCCTAAAAACTAATAGAATATACTAAAAGTTTTTTTTTTATAGCCTGAATTGATATATTATGGAAATACAGTGAAGGTCATAAGCTGCAGCTACATTTTGTTACATTTCTACACCTTCCCTCAGTTTATCCTACAGCTGTGTGAAAAAGCTTTCCACAGCCTCCAACAAGGTTTCTTCTAGAATTGCCTTTCACTTGAAATCTAATTAAAGATGCAGAAGCAATGCTGAAAGTACTGTATGATAAACAACCATATTATTCAGAAGTAAGCAGAGGAACATGAGCTGACAAGTAGTTATTCTAATCTTGATCAGTAGGGGGAGTAGGAGGACGAATTTTTTTTTTTTTTTTTTGTTTTTTCCCATCTTAATTCTGAATATCGTAGCGCTTTTTGGTGAATTCATACAAAAAAAAAACCTCTTGTCATGCAGTCCAGTGTGGTTGAACGCTTTTCTGAAAACAAAAAGCAAACAAACTATGACAAGCGGACTGTCATGTTTTAGAGTGTATGTGACCCGGGGCTGATCTTGGTTACCGTCCTGAGGTCTGGAGACAGGTGCAGAGCACGGCTGCAAAACGGAGCAGCTATCAATATATGCCTCATTGGTAATAGCAGTGTAACCTTCACGAACAAATTCATTCTAATGCCAAGTCCTCCGAGAAAAAGTCTGCACACTTAGATTTATTTAAGTTTTCTCCATTTTGTTTTTCATTAATCAATTACTTTACTTTTTTTTTTTTTAGGATGAAAATCGGAAGAGAATAAATTGAAATATAACTTTAGAGTAAAGTCGAAAACATTTTCTGTTCTTGTAAATTAATTTTAATCTAACCGCATGTTTCCATAAGTCATGCTTACACAAAGAGAGCAGTGCAAAAGCCAAAACACACTTTCACACAACTTCAGCATTAACATGGTCAAAATCTGATAATCTTGGGTTTTATTGTGCTTATTTGTTGCAGTATGGATGTACAAAAAAACCTTCTTTTCTTTTTTTTACACAAGGCACCACTCTGATATTTGAAACACACAAGAAAACACCTGTAGAAACTGATAGTCTCCAAGGAGAGTGACATGAAGTGAAAGGGCCCAGAAACACAATCAGTCTGCAATTTCTCAACATCACTCATTTCTATCAGCACCCTTTGGCATCATTTCAAAAACTATTTGAACGTAATTGTCCGGGATTAGTGTGCCCTTTCGCCGCGAGCCTCAGACGTGAGATTTGAGAGACTGGCAGAGGGCACACTGAAGGATCCGTCATGGCCTCAATGTCAGAAATGCAACACCATTAGGATGGTTTCAATGCTAACTTTACCTTGGTCTGCAGAGAAGATAGTGGAGCAGAAGAGGTGTCAGGGTCCTATTTTTGGAGGGGCTATCATCAACCCAGAGGCATGGGTCTGAGTGACAGGACAAGTGTTGGGCTGGACCGTCCCCTCGCTCGGTTGGGGCAGACATTCTTCAGGGTAAGCAGCGTCAGGACACCCCCTCCCTCCAAGCACACACACACGCACACACACACACACGCACACACACGCACACATCATGTATCCCTTTCCCTCTCCTCCCCCCTCTACTGAAGCTAAGATGGAGGCAGCACTCTGCGTATGGGTGGATGGCACAGGAGGGGTGTGTGTGTGCAGGTGTGAGTACTGGCCGTGGAGCTCAGACGGCAGACGGTCCGCCAGAAGAACAGCAGGTCAGAGCTCTACGAGGGGGCCCTGACTGCTAATCATGGAGCCACAGCACTGAGGGGCCACCCTCAGATAAAAAATATAAAAGGCAAACAATATCGGATAAATAAACAAGAAAAGAGAAAACTTTAAAAAAAAAAGAAAGAAAAAAGACAGAACAATGGTTGCAGAAGAAGTGATCATCACCCTGTCCGGTGGGGCGCCATGGGGTTTTCGTCTGCAGGGAGGCATGGAGCATCAGAAACCGCTCCAAGTGGCGAAGGTAAGCAGGTGACCCAGAAAGGGGAAGCGAAATCCGTTACATTTTGCTTTGCTGGGAAAAAAAAAAAAAAAAGTTTTAAACTATACCTTGGAGTGTGAATGAAGTCATGCTGCAACAGTAGCTGAGATATATCTGGCACTGATTTAAAGAGCTGTGAACAAAGCTGAAGTGGAACATTGGCTGCTGTGCAGGTTGGTGCTGGGCCTGAACATGAGTCATGATTTGGTTTAAGAAGAGGCTTCATGCAGCGACGGATTGATGATCGATTAGGCAGAGTCTAATCTTGCACTTCAGAGTGTTAGAATATTTCAACTATGTACGTTCGTTAAAAAGCTTTAGCAGATTATGCAAAGTTAAAATTTAGAACCTTAGAACCAGCTTTCTATTTATTTGCATGTAATGTTGCACTGGAGGTTTTTAACATGAGGTCAAAACTGTAAATGCAACACCACATATCTGTGCACGAGTCATATTAAATGAAATTTGTTTGATTAATGTGAGAAAATAACATGGATGGGAAACAAAAAAGAATGCTGGTCTTTATTTAAAATTTGATTTTCTAGAATTTTAAAAACTTTACAAGAAAAGCGGGGATTTTTTAATTTTGGCATACTCGAATCGATCTGAGTTTAGTCTTATTCTAATTTCCTCGAAGTTCCTCCTCTATAAAAATTCAGTACAGAAATCACGGAGTGGGTTAGATAAACTTTTATCAGAAAGTCACTGGATGAATCTAAAAACACATAGAAAAACACATAGAAACCATCCTCATTCATGAATGAAAATCGTTCCTCATTCATTATTTAGCATTAATCAGATATGCTTGTCATAGTCATTTTATGAGTTATCTGTAACATATGTAATAAATAAAATCCAATAAACTTTTACTTTTGGGTTTAAAATTAAATACCTGATTATTATTATTGGTCTGACTCAGATAGTGTTTTTTGTTTTTGCTTTATATATCCTTTTGCCAGGTAATCCTAAAGTGTAAGATATATAGATATCCAGACGTTCTCCTCAGTGAAGATTTTAAAAACATTGCTCCCATTAACCCATCCAAAAACTCCTTTCCATTACACTGGAAATATTCTCAATTTGCCTTTCCAAGCATATTTTATGAGGCGTTGCTTGAAATTTTTGGCTAATATTGCAGACGGATGATCTTTATGGTAGTGGACAGCTGATCTGACTGACCGTCCAAAACCGCCTTCTCCTTCACCACTGCAAGCAACGAGGCACAATCGTCGCTTGTCAGGTCTTGTACTATATGGTTTCAAACAGGTGGAGCAGCCTGGGGTTTCAGTATGTCAGAGTTGGGTCTGTGATTGTGAGCCTGCATGCAGGTAATTGTGTGCGTATTTATAAGACCGAGTGTATTTCTGTGTCGTTTCATGTGGTGCATGCAAGGAGGCATGCAGGGATATTATGAGTGTTATGATTTGCAACACTCATAAGGTGACTGACTGAACAAATAACTTGACTTCCTGGGCCACAAGTCGGCACAGATCACTTTGAAAGGCTTAGCTAAATGGGGAGGTGGGATTTCATTACAGGCAAACCAGAATAGCTGAAAAAAACTAATTAGGGAAACCAAGGCCTTAGGCCGCATTTAAATACAAGATACTTAGTGAAAGAAGCGCTAAATTACTTTTTAAAAGTTGTCAAAATTAAAAAAATTTTTTAAAAAAATCTACAAAGAAACATGTTAGTTTTCTGTGGGCTAAACATTTTGGTCTTTGTAGTTGTCAGGCACAAATAGCAAAAGAACCCCATGAAGATGGCCTCTGGCTGGCATTTCCCTGCCAAAGTGTGTGTGAGTGCTGCCACTCGAGTTATAATTTGTGGCATTTGTCCACAGCAAGACCAGGCTGTCTTGCCAGAATCTGTTTCCTGTCAGTCACTGTCAAAAACCAAGTCAGGACAAGAAGCACAGCTCAGGTCAACCTTTTATTTCCAATCTCAGCTGTGAAAACCTCGAGATCCCAGGGAAATAATAACCTTTTCAATAAACTGCCCTGACAAAAGATAGAAGCATTGTCATGTGACAGAAACATTGGTCCTTCAAACCAAATCCTTACACCTTAGAATTGTCTTAGAGTGATTTTTAAGTAAAACTGAAAATAAACTGGGAAGTCCATTCACATCTGCACATTACAAACGATTAATCATTTGACCAGCATAATGAGAAGATTTGTTTTGGACAAATCTTCTTCCGGTTTGTATTCAGATGTTGTATGTAGACTCCAGATTGCCCTAAGGATGGGATGTCAGACACTTGAACGTGTTTTAAGAGAGTTGCCCCAGGCTTATCCCTTAAACATAAAAAAGCCACATTTGCTTGTAATCAATCAAAATTCAAGATCTGTATAACATCCTTTCTCCTTTACAGGTGCGTAAACGCAGCAAGGCCTGCCGGGCTGGACTGCGGGAGGCGGATGAGCTGGTATCTATCAATGAAGAACCATGTGGATCTCTTTCCCATGCCCAGGCCATGAACCTCATCGACAGCTCCCCGGGGATACTAAACATCCTAGTCAGAAGGTAATGGTGTACCAACACTCTAAATGATGGATGACTATGGGCATCTTTTTAATGTTGCTTGCAACTTGTCTTTATTTAGCCCAGAAAAATGTGTATTGAAAACTAGGCTTGCTTTAGCCAGTATGTACTGTCCTGATTTAACCTAAATAAGAACACATTTGATCAACTGCGACCACTTTTAAATTGTTTACATTTAGATGTCAGTGAACATTTTTGTGATGATGTCTTTCACTTTGAACCTGACCTTGTTGTCCTTTCTGTGCCTAATTAATGCAGAACTTTGCTTTGGGGAGAAACGTTATAAGACTACTGCCATGCAGTTCAGAACCTGTAAAGAAAAAAAGCCATATATCTCTGAAAACATCAGCAAAAAACACTAACGCATTCAAATATTACTGTTGCCTGTACTGAGATTTCAAAAAGTGAGCCTCCATTACCAGACCACTGGGATAACAACTTTAATTGTTCACAGGGCGCCTGCTGCTTTTCAATCTGTTGTCCTTGTCACCCGTGCCCCGTCTCCACGGATAGATAAAGAGTACCGTGCTGCTCTAAAAGCCATGTCACCAACCCAACCCCACCACGCGCCTGTCCGAGAGGTCCACCGCAGTCGCTCCTCCTTGACCAGTGGATTAACTTCCCCACCTGGCAGCGAAGCTTATTACGGGGAGACGGATAGCGACGCAGATGTGGCGGGTTACGAAAGGCAACGGCGACAGAAACGCAGAAGCCCCAGCAACTCCAACTCCGGGAAACCACCGGGAAGGACATCTCCCGAAGGAGGGGAGACGTCGGAGATGAGCGGCTACGACAGTGCTCCAGATGCCCAGGCTTTCCCTCGTTCACTGGAAGGACGTGGAGGAAATGGAGATGAAGGAGGCAACCTTCCTGGGGTCACAAGGAAAGAGATTGTTTACAAACCGCCAGGTCCGGGGATGTGGTCCTCCCAGACATCCACTGAAACTTCCTCGATCATCTCCTCAGCAGACGACCAGGGGCCACGGGATGGAGGACAGGAGGAAGACAGTGGATTTCTAGAGCTGGCCAATGTGCCGCTTGTTTCCCCCGAGAGGGCAAAGGAGGCTCTGATGTTGGGTTCTCGCAGCCAGCTTGTGCCCATGGTGGGTCCTGTGAATAAACCCATTGATGAGGAACTTACGACAACCTACATGGAGAAGGCTAAGCAAGCTAGTAAGTAAAGCTGAGGAGGGCCACTGGTATAGACTTGCCCTCCAAGCTAGATCAAGAATCATTTTCCTGTCTCACATCAGATACTATGAGCACATTTTATTTTATTTTTTACCTCCACTCTTAAAATTTTACCTGAGAATCTCCAAGTAATGAAAAGATTCAACCTTCCTCTATGGTGGAACAGAGAAATAAAAGTTAGTCTAACCTGTTAAACAAAATATAGACGCTATAGTTTACTATATTTATCTCAAGCTATGTCTGTAAAAACCCCCAGCAATCAATCTGTGAGCAATGAAAAGCTTCTGCAGCTGCTTTCAGGAGTCAAGTGGCAATGCGAAGAGCCATATTTTTCCTACTCTTAGGGTTAGGATTTCTAAAATGGAGCCAAAAATATGAAAGAAGAGAGGACACAAATAACTATTTCTCCAACTTTGTTGCAAATGTCAACATTTCAGTCGGCGACTGGGCATAATAAAATACAGTTGGAGAAAATCTGCTCAAATTGTCCATCTGTAGAAATAAGCCATAAACAACTGAGCTGTGCAATCAGCTGTTCTTAAGAACTTAAATGAATTTACTCTGAGAAATCCCTTAAGTCATCACAAGGTTCAGGTTTAAATATACTGTCCTACCTTAGCCAAGACAAATTAAGAATACTATTCAGATGACAATTACTTCTAAGGAAGCAGAATAAAGTTGCTAATGATTGTTATTATTACAGTGCCAAGTTCAATCAAATGTGATACTTATCCTTTAACGTTCACATCACCGCAATTCATGTTTTTTCCCACATAGAGAGTATATGAGTCTAATAATGTGCAAATGTATCCTTCCCCAGCTAAATTGGGGAGTTTAAGACCTGCCTGGAATTTTTTCCGGAAGTGCTTCCATGGCAAGTCCAGAGATAGATACCTGATAAAGACATTTTGGTCAGGACAGTTTTAGATACTTACGTCAGAATCAGTTATGGGTTTAAAGCTTAAATCTTTCTGAGATTCATTACACTTAATCTGATGTTCCTAATATTTATACTTTTATACTCTGCAGAACTGAATCGAGGGGACACACTTCAGGACAAGCAAGTGAAGGAAGCCAAGAGCAAGTGTAGGACAATTGCCTCTTTGCTGACAGATGCGCCGAACCCTCACTCCAAAGGAGTGTTGATGTTCAAGAAAAGAAGACAGCGCTCAAAGAAATACACTCTGACAAGCTTTGGGAGTGTAGATGAAGACAGGTTTCAGGACTCACAAGAGGATGACGGAGTGTTTCCTGGCAGCGAATCTGAGTTTGATGAGGAGGGCTTCTCTGGAGCCCCAGATCCAACTTGGGATAGCGACTACCTGGATAAGCTGGAAAAGAGGGCGACGGCAGGCACAGAAGGTCGTGAGGTCGGAGCAGAAAACGCTTTGAATCCTGGTTTGAGTGACACTGTAGGAAAGGGTGCACAGTTGTTTGAGCAGCAAAGAAAAAGAGTGGATGAACTTGCAAAGAAAGGAGAGGCAGCACATTCTCATGCACCCCTTGAATCTCAAGTACAGGAGCATTGTCAGATGCATCCATTGCATCTTGAAATTCCTGCACAAGTGCAACCGACACAAGGACCTCAACAGTCACCATCTGGTCCTACACCTGCACAGGCAGTTCAGTCTCAAATTGTTAATTCCCCCCATGCAGTACCTCAAGGGAACCTACCTAACTCTACAGTGAGTGCAGTTAGCATGGTGATGGCACCTCCTCCTGTAGCACCCAAGCCAGCCACAGCCTTGGTTACAGTTCTGAGCAGTTCTGCACCCCCTCCTGAAGCCCCGTTGCCTGAACTGCCTGCAAGCAATGTTCTAAACAGAACAGCACGTCCTTTTACCCCTGGCTTCATCAGCATTCGAGCCGCAACTGCTCCTGTAACGTTTCGACCAGCTGTCTCAAAGAAGACACAGCGACCTGCCTCAGCAGCTGTTGTGACCCTACCATTTTCCACTGCTTCTGACGTAGCCAATAACACAACACCCATAACATCACAGCAACCCCCTGGTCCTCCACCGGTGGTTCCCCCGCCTTACTCCTTTCCTAAAGCTTCCCTACCCCTTACACCAGAAGCTCCTGTTACTATTCACACTCCTGCTCTTTCTGCCCATTTTGAAACAATGCAGTCATCACCAGGATTAAGTGGTGTTCATCATTCTCTACTTTCAACTATGACCCCAGTGTCTGTGCCTTCAGGACCTAGACCTCCACAAACAGCATCAGTTCCTGTTCCTCCTTTGTCCCAAATTAATGGCTCACCTGATCCAATTGCCTCAGTGGCTCCACTCCAAGTGCCAGTGGCTCCACTCCAAGTGCCAGTGGCTCCACTCCAAGTGCCAGTGGCTCCACTCCAAGTGCCAGTGGCTCAGCCACCAGCTCCACAAGTTTCCATACCATCAGTTACTCAAGAATCTGTAATCACAAAGCCTGAAGCTGTTGTCGCAACCTCTGTTCCTGGCCCGACAGGTCGTACAGGAATCTTACTTGAAGCAAGACGGCGTAGTGGCAAACCTAAACCTATGTTTAATGTGCCAGAAGTGGTAAAGAAATCCCCAAATCCTGACTTATTATCATTGGTTCAGAACCTAGATGAAAGGTCCACCAGACACAAGTATGGCCAAACAACTGCTGACGATGTCTATGAAGAGGAGGAAAGTGGTGAGGCTGGCACAGGAAGGGTGCCACCCCCAGTTGCACCAAAACCTCGGGTCATTCATGAGACCCCACAGATTCTTCAAGCTGGGGGCAAAGGGGCTCAATTGTTTGCTAAAAGACAGAGCCGCATGGGTATGTATGTAGTCGACACCCCACCCGAGACCCCTTACCAGCAGGATGTGGCCATGCAAAATACATTTCAACAGTTTGACTCCTCTGTCAATTCTTCCCATCCCTCTCACTGGAAATATTCTCCAAACGTCCGTGCACCTCCGCCTATTGGATACAATCCGCTGTTAGCCCCATCTCTTCCCACAGGCCCTCAGAAAGATACAGGCATCCCAGACAACAAGGCAAGAGGAAGCTCCCAAAAGGAAGGCATCAAGGCCGTGGATTTCATGAAGAGGCAGCCTTATCAGCTCAACTCTGCCATGTTCCAGTATGGGGGCAGTGTCACCAATCTGTCAGCCATGCCTTCGTACCAGGCCCAGCAGAACAACTACACAACAACAATGGTGGGAAGCTCACTGACCTCACCTCGGCAAATACCGCTCAAAACAGCCCGCGTTTATGAAATCAAGCGCTTCTCTACCCCAACACCTATGTCAGCTCCAACTATCACACCTAAAGTCATCGCTCCTCGCTCAGCTACTACCCTTGGAGAACGTTTGACTCGTTCAGGCATGACATCCCCACCTCCTATTGCCTTTGCTCCAGCTCCACCCCAGTCAGTCTGTACTTCGAAACCAGTTTTTTCTTCCTCCCAACCGACACGGCTACCCAACCTTCCAAAGTTCTCTGCCACCCCTATTCCATGCCCCGTACCTCCTTCGGTCCCCACACCTTACCCTCCAGCCTCATACTCCAGTGGGCTGCAGACAGCCAAGCAGTTTCAGAGTGCTCCAGAACTTAGCATTCTTGCATCTTTGCCCCCGCTGAAAAACATCCCGGTTCAGGCCCCCAAACCACATTTTGTTGCCACTAGGGGCGGTGCGCAGCCCCATGTCTGGAGACCAGGAGCATTTTAAAACGGCGACGCACCTGTGGGGTTAGTAATTATCAACATGAAACCCATCAGTATCGACTGTTATAATTGCTTCTTTGTTTAGTCAAAGCACATTTTTCCTCTTAAATAATGAAAGGAAAGTTTTTGCTGGCTGCATAAACAAAGATAAGGATTTTGAGGATGCTAATTTTGGAATTCTTTTAACATTTTACAATATGTTGATATACCAAGGTATTAAAAATTAATTTTTAATGCCTTGGTATTAAAAATTTTGTAAAGAACAAAACGTTAGGCAATGTTTTACCGAAAGAAATGATTTCATTATGAAGTTCAAAAAACTTCAGATTAACAAATACTTACCTATGTTCAAAACACTGAATTTGACATATACCTTTGCTTTTGACATATACCTTGATGCTAATGGGGTAAAGCAGTACCCTGGACCTAGTTTTGATTAGGCATTTGCAGGTTTATGCCATTCATTTAGAAGAAATATAAACCCTAACGCTCACTTTAGCCTGGAAGGAATGATTTCTCATTTGCACAGGTCACATTATGTGAGCACAGTTAGAGCAATACTTATCACATGGCTAATTTTAGATGCCATTCAGGTACCAACACACTCTCATTTTGCAATGTGGTTGTTTGCAGATATATGTACATTGTTAAATTGTATTAAACAAATTCTAAATATAAAGGATGTGTATTTTACTTTGTTTTTATTCTTAGAGGAATTAATGGAAAGTCAGTGCTGTTCAATTTTGTAAAAGGTCTTAAGGAATGAGAGCAGCTGTGACGAGAGGGCGATAACATGTAATGGAGTCTTAGGTAGATCGTTGTCCATTTGTCTGAAATGGACATGGTCACATCTTTTAAAATTAAGGCTTCTGATTCATTACATACAGATTAAAATCTCACAGACTGTAGATGTGAACATGATGGCCAGGGAAGTATGATCAGATAAATATGTGGTGGAGCTTAAAGAACTGACAGATGGAAGACGGAGGCTTTATTGGTATCTTTTTTTTCCCCACAATAGTTGTGACAAAAAGCTGAAATGTAATGGAAATGTTTTGATGAAAGCAAGTAAGGCATATCTACAATTGTTTCTTCTTTTTTTTTTTACTTATGTTAAATATAATTTCTGATTAATGTTTGTATTTACAATACAAACAGCTAAAGACACTAAAATGTTGCATATAGTTATGTTGAGGTGTAAAATATGTTATTCAAGCAGCTGGATAGTTAGATTAGGTGTGAAACTGTTTGTATTTTTTTTCTGAGTTAGAGTTTATACTGAGTAAGAAAAGGCAAATATTTTGGAGAAATAAAGTTGGATTTGAAAGAACTTTGGTTGTCTGAAATGTCTGATTTCACACCACTATCTGTTGTTCTGTATATGAATTTACATTCAGCTTGCTTTTGGTCCCTAAACATAAATTTTACTACTGTATCAACACAGTTCTTAACTTGATTTTTTTTTATGCTACAGAAGAATTAAAGAAAAAAAAAAAAAAGAAAAACAACACCTATGAAATTAAAATGAGCCTTCAGACATACAATTACAAATACAGCTAATGACTTTGAGACATGTACTTATCAGTTTAACAGTGACTGAAAAGGAAAGAAATGCCATGGCAGGTTTTAAAAGGTGATGTATGTCCATACAGTATTTGAACATGATCTACAATCTTTTCATAAAAATATCAACTGTACTCTCTCTGTTCTTAAAGGAGCAAAGGAATAGTTTCCATTTGGAGATATTGGGAGAAAGTTAAATAGGGTGGTGTGTCCTGGTCAGATCAGCCTTCAGACCCAGAATTGGGATCTGGAAGCCAACATAGCCGCTTTAAAATAACCTATGATGCAGGTTTATGAACTTTTGGGGGCCGGTGATCGGGGAGGTATTCAAACACCTATAAAATATCCAAACAGTCACAGAAATAAATACAAACACCCATCAGAAATGTCTCAGTCACGCAGAAGGTTTGAAATCTGAAACTCCTCGACGAAAGGGGACAAGAACTGCACATCCATACCGCCCTCTGCAGGAAATAATGCGGAACAACAACTGACCTCAACCATCAAGCAATCCAGCTTTAATACTCACAGTTGGCTCATAAAATGTAATATCAAAATGTTATTGGAGCACCTTTTATCGTTTGTCAGCATAATCTTCACGAGTCTTTTCAACAAGTCATAACATTTATTACAACACGGAGTTGCATTAATTCTTAATGCAATAACAGGAGAGCTGGACCTCCGAAATGTCCTGTGGTGGGATTGAGGTTCTGATTCAATTCCTTGTACTGACACAAATAGCAAATCAGACAATCACAAAACGCATCAGACAACCATCTCTGAATGCACAATAAATTGCCTTTTAAAACAATTTAACTAACATATCCGTCCCTTTAGAACCATGGTGTAACCATCCAATAAGGACTTTTTGTGTTCCACGTGTGACAATAATCTCCTGTATTCCTCAGGAGCCGTAGCTGAAGGATACTCATCAGAAGTAGAAGTAAATCTTACAGAAAATCGCTGGGCTCACCTGAAAACGCCTCTGAAAAAGAGAAGTCCTATGAGACTAAAAGGTGCGAAGAAACTTTAACAGGTAGAGCGACCAAATATTGTCTTGTCAAGGCATGTGATGCAGAGAAACTCCAAACAAAGAGGTACTGAATGAATCAAAGACAATACCATCATAATAGCTGTTCCTGTTCAGAGTGCACATCAATGCAACTGACCAATTGCAATTTTTCTTTTTTTGCATTTATTTCTAGTTTAATTTTATGGGTAGATTTCACATTACATAAAATTATATAATTGTTGATTTAAACTGACTTATTGTTTGCTTCATAAAAAAAAATACATTACTGTGACCATTATTTAATACATTTGTATTCTAAAGAAAACTGTCTTTCACATACAACTTGGAATGTCATCATAGGAAAAATCGTGAGAAATTCTTTTCAGTCATTTATTCTCTTTCTAACATGAACTGCAGCCTCTGCGTGGCGCTGTGGCACCAGACAGATGCACGCTGCCCGCCTGCCATTTACACTCACACTGTGCCTAATAATAGTGTTGTCAAAATCCAAACCAAATACTATTTATGCACAAGGGAAATTACATGGCTATAATGAATTAAGTGTTAATGTAACAGCCAAAATTAAACCGAGCAAAAAATACAACTGGGTCAGGTTTTTGGGGAAGCTCATTTTTGAAAATAGCACACCCTGCAGTTTCCATGGGGAGACTCAATATGTATTATTATTTTTCTTCATATATATATATATATATATATATACACCTTATTTTCTACACTGACTTTTAAAAGTATTTTCTTTAATATTATGTCTTCACAACAAGTGACGTCAGTGTATTTTATTAAAATTTTACGTGACAAACCAACACAAAGCAGCACACTATTTTGAAGTTGAAGGGAAGTCCTGCAAGATTTTACTTCAAAACATCTAGAAATCATCTAGTCAATTTGAAAACATCTAGTCAATTACCTTCGGAAGTCATCTCAGTAAATAGTTCAAAGATGTGTAAGTAAATTTAAAATAAATTTGTTTGCTGGAGAACATTGGTGACCAAGCGACTCAGTGAGGCCAAGGAACACACTGGGTCAGGAAACTGAACTTTTTAGCCTACGTGGTACAGTATGTCTGGTTAAAATCGAACATGTTACTCTGAATGGATGCTTTTCTTCAGAACAGATAAGGGAGACTCATCTTTCCATCCCGGGAGAAAATCTGCTGCAAACGATTGTGGAGGTTCACTCTCAGGTAGGACAACAACGGTAAACATGCAACCAACTGCAATAAAATGGTTTAGATCAAAGCATTTCCAGAGTTTGAACGGACTGTTACAAAATCCAGACCTGAATCTTATTGGAAATCTGACAATTCTCAGATTTGTAATTTTATAGCAATCTTAAAAAAATGGATGAGATCGCTCTATCCCAGTAAAATGCATTGAAGTTTGTGATCGTATGTATTTCATGGATGTTTTGTGCAGCATCAATTTCAACTTAAAAAAAAATCATGTATATAGAATCAATCCATCCATCAAGGGTAAGTTTTCCCAGAAATTTTCCCCAGCAGTTCTCAGGGGAAAAGGGCAGTGTCCACACTGGACAGGTCACCAGTCCATCGCAGAGATACATTCAGACACACGGGACAAACAACCACTCATGTACACAGTCATACCAAAGGAAAATTTAGAGACCAAATGACCTAAAAGTAATGTCTTTGGACTACGGGAGGAAGCCAGAGTGCCTGGGGAGAACTCATGGAGAACATTCAAAGACCATAGACTGGGACTCTGGAGGTGACCTGCTGGAAGGCAACAGTGTGCAACGGCGACACCGTGCAGCCGATTACAGAATTCCCTGGAAAGAAAGAAATAAGATACTTCTACTACTTTTTTAAACTTTTTTTTTTCAGGACTCTGTTTCTACATCCCTGATTTATATTGCGATTGAAACCGATGAGCTTGTGATGTTGGATGTCGGTATTATTCTACAATTACCTGTGACTGTTAAGGACATGAGCAGTCCTTTGAAACTCAAACTGATTTGGCCTTCATGTATATCCACACATGTTCTTAACCTTTGACTTGCTCTCTCTGCACTCACTCTTAGACCCCTCCTCTATCCTCCATGTCTTTCTTCGCACCCCAAACACTCTTTGAGAGTCCCCCCGAGGCTCTGAAGTCCTGTTCCCCCTCGTTCTCCGCAGCTAAATATAGGCTGCGGAGCCATCTGCAAGAATGATTTTGTTCCTTTAATATCGCCATCAGCAATTTCGACCGGCCAAGAGAGACTTCTCCACCCCGGCTTAATGACCCCCTTTCCATTCCGTATTCACACTCCTAACTTCAGCCTCCTCCTCCCCGCCTTGACATCAACACTCCTACCGCACCCCCTGCAAACCTCCCGCCAGTCCTCCCCCCCACAACTGAACCTTTCTGCAAGATCTGGTATCTGAGTGTTGCTTTGCACTTTCCGGGACCTGAGTCCAGTCATTCGTGGGGTCAGAGGCACTAAGGGATTTGTACCTCTGTGTTTGAGATCAATATCTTCCTCTCTGTTTGGTATTTATAGGTCCTTCTCTCCTCACAGGATTACAACAGAATCCCGGTGAGTGGATCTAAACCTGTTGGTGTGCTTTTGGTTTTTTCTTTTTTCTTTTTCTGTAGATTACTCGACTAAAGCTGCAGCCTTTCAACTCTGGATGTTGCATAGTGGCAAAAGAACAAAATGGTTTTCCCAAACATAAGCTGCACAGGTTATTCGGCTAGTGATGGTGGGGGAAATAGATTTATTTGTAAAGCCTTAAAAAGCTAAATAAAGAGCTGAATGTGCTGACTGTAACAGAAGTTTTATATAGTGTTATCAGAGCCGCCTTAGAGGTGGGCACCAAATCTCCACAGCTCTCCTACCATGAAATTATCGCACTGCATCAAAAATCCTCCTCATTAACAAGCACTCCAGTTCTGACCCTTGTGTGTCTCAAATGGGCACTTCCAGCTGATTTTCTGGAGGTGTGCTTTGTGTTCTTCGGAGTTTGCTTCAAGCCCGTTTGATAGCCTTATGACGCCATTGCATGTCGCTAAAATGTCTTGGCTGGAAATGGCTTTTAAAAATAGCCGCAGTGGGTTCAGTTACAGTCAGTAGATGTGATGTGATGTTTTGCCACTAAACATGGACCTTAAAGAAAAATGTTTATGGCTGAGTTTGCAGACATTTGGACATAAAAATCTGCATGTGAAATGTAAAAACGTTAGGTACATGTGATAAAGTAAGATGCTTATTAGAGAATGGGTTGGTGGTACGGCTGGAAAGTAATGTTCAGGAGTTTCAGGTGGGAAAGGTCTCGGCATCAGAAACTGTGGACAGTATCCCATAGATTTTACCTGCAGAAAAACCTGATGAGAAGTTCCTTGGTGAACCTCGGCGTACTTCCGTTGAGTCTGTCGGATGTGAGAACAGATCTCGTGTCCCCAAACAAAAGCTGAAGCACAGATTGAGCTAAATGTTTCTTTTGAGGGGGAAGACGTGCGTCCCACGGGGGAACGCGAGGAATCCAGAGTCTCTGACACTTCCCATGAGTGTGAAGAACTAGGGGGGACGTGTGTTGTCTTGCAAATGTGTTACATTGATCTCCTTCGAGCCGAACTTGCAGGGGTTGGCGGTAGGTTATGGTGCTAATGATCCTAAGTTATGCTCAGAAGCTGGTGGAGATCAGTCGTAAATTAAAACCTTTTCTAACCCTCCGCTTCTCCTCAGAATCCTTTGCGACTTGCATTTCATCTTTTGAAGCTCTTTTTTTTTCTT